GTAAAAATGCTTTGGTGTGACGTCATTTGTAGACGTTGGTAAAAGTTAAGACATTTCATGAAACGTGGCCTGATTCAGGCTGACTTCAGACTGACAACAGGCTGAACATCGGACTGACGACAGGCTGACGTCAAAACGATTCATAATAACGGCACACGATGATTTTAAAATAGTTGGGGGTACGGCTCCGGACCCCTTAGCGGTCCAACCTTCCCGTAGCGCTTTGCGCCTCAGGTGTTGTTATTTGTTACTCAAGTTCAACCTGACTTGTTTATGCTTAAAAATTGAAATTAATGAGCGAATATTTCATAGAATATGTATTAAGACTGGTTTTACTTTGAATCATAATATCTCAATTTCCTCAAAAACTGCACTTGTGCATCTTGTCCTCCAAGCGCCTCAACTGATGACGTATCAGATATTTTTAGTGCATTTTCTTAAAAAGCTCTCAAATATTGAATCAGAGATTTAAAAGTATTTTTAATTTTTTTCTCTTCATCTAGAAAGCAGCATAGTGCAGTTTTCACGAGCGGACTAAAACCCTCCCATTTATCATCCAAATAAATGATCGAAATTCAGATCTTTCACAACAGTCATCTCGTTTTTGAAACGCATAGCGTGACATTTCACAACTTTCGCACATACTACCACTAAGTTAGTTTGCTGTTTAGGTTTCTTTGTGATAGAATATTTTGTGCAAGAAAAGTCGGAATAAATTAGAACTTTGTCGCGTAGAAGCGGGAGGATAAATCACATTAAATCACCAAAAACGGCAACAAGAGAGATGTGGACGCCTATACCCCCCTTCACCCTGTTCCTTCTCCCTCATGAGCCCCCCATAATTTGGAACTGCGATCAGTCTCTCCCACGCGCGGTCGCTTATAATGTGCACGAAAGTTTAAACACCACTTGTGAACTTTTTGGTCATTTAATAGTTTGGAGCCGGTCCACTGCACCGAATTTTTTAATACTCCACTAATTTACAGCGTAACTATTCGCTTAATATTTAGCTCTCGCAGAGGCACCCATTAGCGGTCAGGCCATGTTTCCCAAAATTCCTCTAAAACTATAGTTTCAACGTGCGGTATATTTGCGTTTATTTCCCTTGTGATTAAACGCAGAGATTTACGATGTGTACTAACTCAAATCAAGAGTCGAGAGCAGTTCATAAAATAAGTATCGCTAAAAATCTGTTTTTTAGTTCTTTTGTATCGCATTTGCAAGTCAGATTTGCACCCCTTAAAAAGTGTGTATCGTCTCGTTTGATTCTCGTTTTTTCCTTAAATTGGCGTTTTGGGAAGAATTTTGGATGCAAAATTACACCCCACGTTAATTTTAGATCTTAAAATTTGTGGAAAAGCAGAGCTGAATGCTGATTTCAGCCTTACATAACGTACCTTCGAACTCCCCTCTCCCTCATGTAACGCACTTTTGAGTTCTCAATAGAAAGCGTGCTGTTATCATATGAACAGTTAATTCTGAAAATTAATTTCTTCTCTTTTCTTACGAACTTCGAATCATCATTAACCTCTTGCTCGGTTTAATATTCAATTCTGAGTGTGTCGTGTACCAAAACGACTTTTAAACACTATAGTTAAGGGCGTAGAGCCAGTATCTCAATTTTGAGTTTTTCTAGGTGCCTTTTTCTAAGACCGCACTGGAAAGAAAAAGTCGCTAGGATCTAAAGTCCAGACTCTTGAATAAAATGACAAGAAAAAATACTCTTGGTTCAATCGGATGATTGCTTGAATCAAAAGGAAATCTGCTTGAATTAAGAGGCTTGGTTCTCGATTGAAGCAAAAATCCGATTGATTCAAGAGTATTTTTTCTTGTCAATGTTTTCAAGAGTCTGTACTCTAGATCCAAGCTACTTTTTTCCCAGTGTGGAACACAAGGATACGCCACGTTGATAAACAGCTTTCGTTCTTATTGGTCGAATAGTTTCCGCAACCTTTGCGCTTCCTGGAGAATTTGTAACCTAATTCCTCACTTCTAAATTCACTCATCCCTCACTTGTTTTGCATCCCGAAGTTACGTTCTTTCCCTGAAGTACGAAGTGGTGAAAAAATCCCGCATGCGGCTGTCATTTTTTCATCTCATCACCAGCATAAGAATTGAGCGATGGCAAAACGTGATCTGGTTATCCCCGGTGGACCATCGCTCACAAGTAATCTTACGGACTCCAGGGGTCGTCGGAGAAGAGACTTGGTAGACTTGAGCATCTACACATTCAGATCTTGTGAAGTAGATTTAGCACGGCTGGTCTCAGCTGTCCGGTGCACTGGCTCCGGGAGAGCAAGTCTCTCCCTTTTTTTGATTTTTTACGGTAGCGTGCATCTCAAAAGCCTCACGGTTCCTGCACGTCCTCTGCCCACTCTGCATGCCCACAGCTCACAATCCGTCGCCCCCCTGACACAAGGTCATGAGCCCCGGAAAGCAAAGAATTATACGAAGCACGAGGGTCACGCGGAAATTGAGATACGTTCTTACGTCAGAGGGGCGACGAATTAAACGTATCAACATGCGCGCTTCAAAACCCACTCTTCGTACCATGACGTTTAGCTTTTTGCGCACTCTGGTTTAAGAGCCGGACTCGTCCGTTGTCAAATTAAGAGGAAACTGTGGCTATTTTTTCTCGGAAGAAGAGGAAATTCTATGGTTGAATTCCCAAATCACGTATCTCGGTTTGTGACGTTGCAGACTTCCTGTCGTTCTTTATTTTTTCAATGGAAAACTACTCAGCATCATTTCTTTAAAACGTCCTTGATTTTTCCTCTCTTTGCGGAGAAAATTCGGTAAAAACTTCAAAGATAAATGTTAATTTGTTCTCCTTCAAAAAAATAAAAAGGGAACGGGGATTTTGAAACGCCGCAAACGTGATACGTGATTTAGAAGTTTCACCATCGGATTTAGTTATCGAATTGAATAGCTAAAGTCGAGAAATGAGTATCTCAAATGGGACAATATTTTGCAATTCGGAGGTCATATTTCTTGCTCATTTTAGAGATCAGACATGTGCCATCAGTTTTTAATGCAGATATTGGTGATTTTGTTGGTGAGCTCCTTACTGAAAAATGTAGTCCGGTTGTGACGTTATAAAACTTAAAAAATCATTGATCGAAGGATAAACACTAACAATTGATTACAAATTGAGAGGGACAATGGAGGTAAGTTCAAAATTATGAGCCCCTAGGTTCCAAAAACTATCCAAGTTTCCTCCCTTGAAATCTGCTTATCCAGCTCAACTTTTTTATAAGAATCTATACAATTTGAGCAAATAGTTTGTAGGATATGAAAAATTATAAAGTTTGCTCTACATAAAAATATGCTTAAGTCTAATGCCTTTCTTCCACCCACGTACTCAGTTTTAGTTTTCGACCCTGAGACCATATTCCCCTTCAATTATCCAAGTTCAGTTTTTTTCCTAAATGAACCACTTTGTTAAAAAAAAAAAGAAGGAACAAAATTAGATTCGCTCATTCATTCAATGAAAATTACGTAAACTTGCCGAAAATGTCTCAAGACACATTCTTGACACTTTGGGAAAAATGAAATGGACGTAGATAAGCTAAAAGGTACCATGTGAAGATGAGCCAAATCGAAAGGAACTTTGTTGTACCCAGATCCTATCCACACAGCTTTTTTTTATTGAATTATTTTTCACAAAGTTTATTTTGGTATAAATACTTCCAAATGGCCTTGCCGATGATGACCATGCTCATTGAGTAAGTGCTCTCTCACTCTAAAGTTTGACAAAGTTCACTGAAAAAAAAACTCCGGCCGTGGAAGCTGTAATTACGGGCTACATAGACATACTGTCCGCGTTCCGGGCTCAGAGGCCGATAGTTCCGGGCATAGCACCCGGAATAATCGAAACTACTCCAGCACCCGGAACTTTCCGTCTTTGAGCCCGGAACGGATGGTATGTGTATTTAGCCCGTAACTTTATTTTTCAGTGTTAAGAGTGGTAGGTTTCAAACACTGTCCGGCCGTGGGAGCCGCGATTACGGGCTATATAGACATACCGTCCGTTCCGGGCTCGAAGGCCGAAACATCCGGCTGCTGGAGCCGTAGCTTCGGCCTCTGAACCCGGAGAAATCGAGACTACGCCTTCAGCAGCCGGAATTTACAGCCTTTGAGCCCGGAACGGATGGTATGTCTATATAGCCCGTAATTGCGGCTCCCACGGCCGGAGTTTTTTTTTTTTTTTTTCAGTGAAATTGATCACTTTGAACGCGGTCTTTCAGATTGTGTTGCATTTTTTCGCAGATCGGCACGTGTTCTTCCCTTCTCGGCAACGCAGTGAAAGCGCAGGAGTGGGCAGTCGGGAGAACCCTCGTCTGAAAAATCGTTCGTGCCAGCTTTTGGTACTTTAACCGGCTTCCGGCCCGCGGGTGGGGTCGCTCCTTTGCGCCGTTTCGCGAATCTAACTTTTCACTGCAATTAACTTTTTATAATGCTGGCCAGTCATTTCACGCGCTGGTTAGTGGAGGTCTATTTCCGGCACCCCTCGCTGCCTTCCCCCTCCCCGCTATGCTCCGCTTAATATTTTATGGTATTGTCCGGACTCGTAAAACTACACGGTTGCCACATGCTGGAGTCTCGTGGTTTTTTCTTTGAGGGGAGGGGGGGAGTGCTAAAACTTTAGTACTAGGGGTTGTTAAGAATATGTTGTGACCGTCTGAAAGAAGAGGGACTTTGCGTTACGTAGGCACAAACAATCCTAATTGAGGTATTGATACACCTTAGCATATGAGAGTAATTCTTACATTGGGTCAAAGGAATTTCGAAAAGTTTTGAATTGGTCTGAAGTCAAGATTTTTAAAGTTCGCGATGGAAAAACGGAGACATTCCTTTTTCCTATACGGGACTATCATAGATAACGAAAATAGTTATGAACAAACCAGAGAGCAATTAGATCAGAAATTATTATCATACTCTTACGTACAGAAATATAATTTACATTATGAAAATTTAAAAATTTAAAAAATTTACGAAAATTTGAAAACTTTCAAAAACAATTTTTATTAACACTCACTTGCATAAACTATTTCAATTTTCGGAGCAGACGAATTTCGGAGGTGTCCCTGACCTCCATCCTCGGCGCGACAATATAATTTACAATTATATTTACATTATAATAGTAATGATATAATTTACATTTCCTGTAAGTTTTTTTCATACGATAAATAAAATAAATATACATAAGGATTGTTAGTAGTAAATACCGCACGGGATCATTCTACTCGTACATCTGCTTGATGGACGCATCGTTGATTCATCAGAGGAGAATCTTGTAACATAAAATGAGTAAAACTATTGGAGTTGAACTACTTGTTTTATCAGCTTGTTCCTTTTTTGCCACGCAAACATGAACCAATTTTATAAAAAAAAAATAATAAATTCAAGTCTCTTAATGCAATAATTTGCAAGTAATGATGATTACTCCTATTTCTCAGAATGAATTTTGTTTGTCCCGTCACCAATAAAAAATATATTTTATCAATAAGATAGGAAATGCAACAAAGTTAGCAAAAAACATCAGTATGAAAATCATTCATTGTTCAGTGAAACGTTTACTATAGATCTGCTATCTATAACTAAATTATTACGCTACATTTTTACCTGTGCTTAAAATTCCACGCTTTGGTTCATACGCCTTTGATTCCTAAACAATGGCGTGGAGAAGTTATTCCATTGTTTGCTAAAATTCGAGTAAGAACGGTCCGATGAGTGTTGCCTGAAAGATAAATGACATACATAGAGTATACGCCAACATTTAAAACATCAACTTAAGCTACGAATTGACTTATTTTTAGAAGTTTCTTTTTGCTCTTTAAGATTTGGATGCGTATCTTTATTTTGCTTTTATTCTTCAAATTTTCATAGCTCTCTGCTGATTGATAAACCTTATTAACCTGATTTAACCTTAAACAATACTTGAAAAAATTAAGGAACGGAATGGCATACCTGACATAATTCAAAGTCCTTCTCCACCTTTCTCCTGCTCTGTGGTTATTTCTGTTAGTATAGTGAGAATGGCTCGATTTTCTTTGAGTCTCAGACTTGAACTTACGTTCAATTTGACCATTCAAGCAACTGAATCTATCGAGTCCTCTTACGATACGATTTTGGTCCGATATGCTACACATTTGACTAGAAGTGAAATAGCACAAATTTGATTTAGTAGAATGAAAATGGAATAGGTATACAACATAGGTATTCATGAAAGTATCAAAACCCACAGCCGCGCAAGCAATATCCGGATGAGGATTCATGAGGAAAAATACCCCAATCAAACCATAAACTCGTTAAGTTTCTAAGTACATATTATTCAAAAGTCACCTACCATTGGCCATAACTTTAGTTCTAATTAAGATATCGATTTCCGGTTTGTGACGTTTTTCCTCATATTGAGAGGGAAACTTATTTAGGTACTTTCCACTTTTTGACTCCCTTAGGGGGAGGGGGGGCGAGGTGCAACTCAAAAATTTCAAATGGCCACCCCCGTCATGGCCAGTGGTGTGTGACTTTTGAATAACCCTGTAGGATAAAGTCAATAAGTGATGGAGTCAAGGGAAATTTTACTCTGAACTGGGTCGGACATTCTTAGTAGCCGGTGTAAAAGTAGACCAAAGTTTAGTAGAATGGAATCATTTTCGATTTTTAATTTATTCCTGGACACAATTCACTGCTTTCCATCTCCCTGATCGAAATGAGCATACATCCATTCCATTTTACATTTGTCCATGTTCTCGGTTCTACAGAGGCACGCTTTTCTTTTACCAGTATCTTTGCTCTCCCGATTGGTCAAAATTGAATCAAATCAGCTGTTAAGTATGCTTTTTTAATTGCACCGTTGTAAATCTCCGCCCATGTTTCGTACTTTTCTCTTTGCATTTATTTGAAGGGAACTAAATGATGACTGCCTTGACATCTTCCTTGAATTTTCTTGCCTTCTTCAAAGTCTTCACGGTAAATTTCACGGCTATTTTTCGGTTACTTTTTTCTGAGAAAAAAAATTAAACATCATAACAGATTTTGAAACGTTGCAATGAACATACAATTTTTTTTACATTGGTCATACGCATGAAACACAACCTTTATTTACCCGCAAGACATAACGGTGCGGATTTACCTGAAATTTTCCAAGTGCTGTTCGTTCATACTTGAACTGATCGCTGGTTTACTCCCAATGCGGCTTTGAACAAAGTTACTTTCTTGGTTAAAGCTTCTGGAGCTTAATGGCGATTGACTCCATTGGGCCGTACTCCTACCTCTACTCCTACTTCTGTGGCGTTTTTTAATAACGTAACTCCGACAGTGATAGCTCCAAGAACCAAACGGATCCGATGAAGGAGATCTCGATTGACTTTTCGATCTAGATCTGCCCCTGCGGATCTTGCCTCTCGATCTACAACTATCACAGCATTGCGCGACACAACTTTCTGGGCTAGGGTCCCTAAAACTGGGCACATCCCTCGAAGGAGATCTTGATCTTACAATTAGTCTTGATCCAGATAATCTATCTCTGGATCTACTTCTGTTGCGGCATTGAACGACGTAACTTTTCAGGCGACGGTTCCTTGGACTGGATGAAGCTTCTGAACGAGATCTGGATCTTACCCGCAATTTAGATCGACTTCTGCGGGGCTCGTAAGACTCGTTCACATAGGTTGTCTCACCTATCTTATCTGAAATAATGCATTCAGAAATAAGTGATAAGATCAGCGCTCTGTACCGTTCTTGGTATCAAGGGTGCAGATGCAGATGGCATGAAATGTGAAAAAGAAAAAAAGATTGGAAACAGTGAAATATCTCATGAAATTTCACGAGGCTGCGAGATATTTCATATTTTTCAGGGACTACAGTATGCAACCCGCACTCAAACACACAAAAACAGAAGATAGTCACATTTTTTACATTTCGTGAAACATGAAAATGAACCGGTATTTTCGAAAATCTTTCATAGATTTCCGAAATTTCGCGTAAAATTTCAAGATTTTATTTTTCATGAAATATTGCCACCCTGGCGGAGAAGAGAGCCGAGAGCCCCTCCTTCGAAATTTTCGCGCTGAATACACTTAATCAGCGCTTACTCTCAATAAACTGGGCAACATTTTTCAAAAAGAAACTATTATTTCGGACGGGGACGTCCCGGAAAGGGTTGGCGGCAGGGCGTTGACGAAGAGATGTCGCGGTGTCAGTTGCCCGATAACCTATGGGAAGCAGATGTGGCGTTTGAGTGTCGTAGAACGCCGGGGTGCGTTGTGAAGCGACTTTATATATATAAACTATTATTTCTGACTTATCCATAGAAACACCCAACAGCATTGGAAAGTTAATGCCACATAAGTTGTTTCTAAAATGAGTCGAAAATAATAGTTCCTAATTGCAAAATGTAACCCGATTCTGCCCACTCGCCGCAAAAAGGAGGCATATCCCTATTAATGCTATTATGACACAGCACTTTGCCAATGGATTCTGTCGCGATATTGACACAATACTGAACCAGTAAACCAAAGAAAATGTTATGCATAAGTGACTGTATGATATTTTTCCTAACTGAGAGTTACAGAAAGTTAAAGAAAAGTTACAGAAGCCTTCCCTCCGATTGTACGCAAGATTTGAAAAATCACCCCCGTAAATTCTTCTTGAGCCCCTTCTGAAGGGCCCAATTTTTCTACAGGATTATAAAATACATGCAAGCGTCTAGGAAATAATTCCTTTTTGCACCGTTCAGGTTCGAGAAGCTTTGATAAAAGGTCCATTTTTTTTGTTTAAATTGAAGCAATATCAAATAAAAAAATAAAAATTACCGGATGACATTTCTACTTTTTCGGTCGTTGACATGCTGAGGAAAGGAACATTAAGCTACTATTAAACAAATACTTAGGTAATGCACTTTAAAACAAGAAAACAGAGAAATGTTTTCGGATGCAACTACGTTGATGTCTCAGCTAAATATTCGGCGAAACACTTCATAACGACACGCTTCGGGCGAGGTACTGTTGTGATGCTTTATCAACATCAATTACAGGAACAAAAAGTAATTGATCAGTGAATGAAATTTTCATCAGAATAAGTCTCTCCCGTTGAGAGTGCGATTAAAGTAAATCAAAAATCTGATTTGTAATCTGAAAGGTGTGCTGCGTTGCAGTGCTATTTGTAAATGAACACGAATTTTAGATTTGTATTTGTAAAATGCAACTCATTGAAATTTTTTATATAAGTTAAAACACAAATAATATCAATGGTCGTCAATCAAATAAAGTTGAATTCTAAAGAAAGAAAATCACTCAAAAGCAATATTAATTTTGTCGCCGGTCATGTGACAAGCAACGTCACACAGTGGGTCGAGTCGATAGGAGAGGTCGGCCATAATTTGGAAATTTTAAACGCTTATAACTCTGTTTGTACAAGACTTTGAAGGTCTAAAAGTTGTTCCATTGGTTCACTGAAAAAAACACTCCGGCCGTGGAAGCCGTACTTACGGGCTATATAGAGCTACCGTCCGCGTTCCGGGCTCAGAGGCCGAAAGTTCCGGGCGTAACACCCGGAGCACTTCGACTGCTCCGGGTGCTACGCTCGGAACTTTCGGCCTCTGAGCCCGGAACGCGGACGGTAGCTCTATATAGCCCGTAAGTACGGCTTCCACGGCCGGAGTGTTTTTTTCAGTGTCCATAATGAAATTTTCCATCAGACGCATTCCTTAAAATTAAAAATGTGATGAAATAAACTAGTCAAATATTTCATTATCAACCTCTCTGATCGACTCGATCCACTGTGCGTCAGTGCATACATTTTAGAGATCGTAATCGGAACTATGAGATTATGACCATTAAAGCAATTGGCACTTCAAATGCATTGTGCATATGACTGATCCCCTCCCCTCTCTTGTAGGACATGTTTTTTCTCTTCGAGGGATCATAAAATAAATGACTGTAAAGCATAGAAGACAAAATATTTTGAAAGAAAAAAAAAAATCTGAACACATCTCTTGTTTCGTCACGGGGTTTGGCTGGCAGTTCGGGACATCATTTTCTTTTCTAAATGCCTAACGTCATTCGAAATGCATTTTGGATGAATAGAAAAAATGAAAATTTTCGGCCTTGTTTTCCCCGCAGAATAGAGGGGGTCCAACACGATTCTTTTATCGTGTACATTTTTGGTGTATTTGTGTTGTTTAGCATTATATTATTCCTCTAAACACGCAGAAACAAAATTAAAAATAAAGCTAAGCCCATACATACCGTGATCTCTCTTGACCGGGTGGAATATAGGTGTCAAAGCCAAATATTCAAATCAGGCATTCGGTTATATGCCTACGCAAACAGTCAAATATTTTTACTTAGACTGTAATTCTGATTATTTTGCTAACTATGGATCAAATAATTCTCTGATCACGAGGGTAGGAATTCTTTGTAAAAATGTGTTTCATCCAATGATAAATGAGTTATTTTTAGTCTTTGAGTGCACATATATCTTAAGACAAGGTGGAGAAATGGTGCTGGGTCCACACCATTATTTGATTTTGACTCTAATTTTAATTTTTGGTATTTTCTTGGCTTTGTTTACCCGCGGAATGGTGTGGACCCAGCACCATTTCTCCACCTTGTTATATACAGGTCGGGCCACTTCTTAGTGTTTAATTTTTTCATATATCTTAAAATATACAGCATTTCATAAACAAAAAATTGTTGTCACTCTTTATACAGTTGAACAAATATGAGGAGCATTTTGAAACGGGAAATGAAATTACAGTCTGTTCTTGTATGAATTTTTCTCTTAAAATATTGGATATTCGAGAGGTCTTTGTGTAAACATAGGAAACCTCCTGATCTCTGAAAATGTGACATACTCTGCCTCGACATTTGACAAAACGTCCAATTTGACTATTTGCCGGCGAGCTAGGTACCTTTTTCTAAAAAGAGCTACGCGGAAAAGATCACCGAATCGGTAACTTCGTTTTATATCGTTGTGTTGGCGGCTGCCAAGACTCCAGCAGAAAAGCGACGCAAACACTTTAAAGCAATTTCAAAGCTAAACCAACTTATAATCTCCAGGAGCTTCTTAAGTGCCATCGAAAACAGCTTGACCCGAAACACCGGATTCCGGTCTTCGCGACGCGACGACGTCACGTCGAGTCGCGCCGAATCCGACCGGACGACTTCCTCCCTTCGCGCCAAGACCGACCCGGTCCAGCGCCGAGGCGCGAATGATCAATCATCGATATCTCCCCATTCGAAGCTATGGTAAAGAATCGATTATTGAGGCGTCCGCCGCGAACACCCTGTTTATCGATCCTTTTCCATTGGCTTAAGCGGCAGATCAATCGATATATCGCAATTCACGCCACGCCAATGACCCGGTCGCCCGGAAGAATTGGCAAGATCCGCGATAAAGTTCCGGGATTTATGGGACTCCCCATTGGACGAACACGGTTCCGGTGGAATTCGAATAATTTAATGTTTCCGGCGATCGCGCTAAGTGCCCGGCGAGACGGGGGAATTGTTTTGACGCTATTTCTAGGACGAGAGCGGGTTCAACTCGGGTTTGTGTTGCGCTCATGCGTCGATATGTTTTGGCGGGTAGATGGAATGGCGAGGACTGTCAAGATTTTCGTTGAGATCGGAGACGTGAAGAAAAGTTATCCTGTTGGAGGTACATACTGAAAAAAATGACATGGATGGAGAATTTGCAGGTGTCTGAAATTTGGTGAATTTCTAGTCAAAGTGGAGGCTTCTGGGTAAACTGAACACAAAGATGGCATTGGTTCAAAAATTGCACGATTATTGGACGAGGTATGGCAAAGAGATTCAATCTGCTAAAATACGCGTGTTTGGGTCGATACAAATGGGAGATGCCACCCGATGACGTCACTAGGCGGTGAGTCGTCTCACTTTTAAATATATTTACGGAACTTTGCGCGAAAGTTAAGTTCCGTAAACCTATCTCTGTGCGGACAAGGCCCTCCATTTCTCAGTATTGAACGAAAAAAGTATGAAAGAACAAACATAAAAGTGGTTTAATAATTTTAACTCCCGCCACCGCGCCGCGCTGCCGCACTGTGTGTGGCGCAATGCGTGAAGTATTTCTACAGTCTTGTAGGCGCTATGCGTTTCACGCCGATCGCTGCTGAACGCACTGTGTTTGACGCAATGCGTGAAGTATTCATGCAGTCTTGTAGGCACTATGCGTTTCACGTCGGCCGCTGCTGACCGAGTGACCGCACTGTGTTTGACGCAATGCGTAAAGTATTCATACAGTCTTGTAGCCGCTGATAAGTGTTACATGACTACATGCCGACCGCCGCCGCGCCGAGGACTTCTCCTTTTCATCTCAAGTCCTCGTCATCATTGCTCTTCTTTGCCGCGCCGTTCCAGGCCAAATTGCGCGTTTGGTTTCTCTCTTAACTAGACAAATTAAAGGTGCAGTCTCTTGTATCACCAAAAGACGGCAAAATTAGAAATTACTATACTCTCAGGAAATGAGACATTTTGTCGCCTTTTCTGGTTTGTAATTTTTTTTTCTTAATCCGAATTACCTACATAAAAAATTGCAAAATTTGCCACCCCCCTAAATTTGCCGCCATACGCCGCGGCCTATGTGGCCACCCCTTAAATCCGGCCCTGATTAGGGAAGCGTAAATCATGGATCATCGATTTTTCCCCACATGAAGCTATGGTAAATAATCGAGTATTAAGGTATTCGTTGCGAACTCCCTGTTTATCGATCATATTCCATGGGTTTAAATTCCACACCAATCGATAAATCGCAAAGCACTCCACGCCACTGCTGACTAAATTACATTGTGGCATTTATAATATTTTAAATTCAAAGCAGTCCTGAAACTCAGCCGTTTCGATCGACAATGATAACCTGCTGTTTGTTTTTCATTTTCCTTTTGTTTAATAATTTTACTCTTAAAATTATCTTTGACCTGTACTGCCGTGGAACGCAAAAACGCTGTAAACGTTATTTTACATTTTTTGGAAACAATGTATCATAGCAGAAAAACTTGTGTACCTAGGGACAATGTAATCACATTCCCCCGCAAATACTATCAAGAACTTAACCTGAAAATTTGAGGTGTTTGGGTGAAACAGTTTTTATTTTAGTGTTAAGTTCCAAAAAACGAGGAAAAATCTTGATGGATTTACGGCGTTCTTGCTTAGCACGGCAGTGTACCATAGCCAATTCAGCTCATTTGTACTAAAATGTATAAAAAAAATTAAGAATATTGAAAATAATAAAACAAATTGAAGTATGCCTCGAAAGATGCAGTGTGTGCACGGAAAAATTCATGATATTAACTCCTCCGTCTACTCTTAGTCTGACATGTTTGGCGCTCAGGGCACCTCGAATCCGAGCATCTCCGGATTTGCGTTCCCATCTCGGGAGGCGCGAGAGAAGCGACACCCGAAAACTACTCCACACGACAAGTCGGGATCGATATCATCTTGGGCCTGTCAGCATGTTACGCGGCGGAAGCGATAGGAAAAGCAAACGAGACCGGAGACCGAGGGGATGGGGCGGAGGAAATGAGCCGGGTGACGGATGCGGGGAATGCAAGAAAAATTAAAGGAAAACAGAGCCGAGATATTGGAAAAGCGCAGCGCCGCACCGTGGATCCAGTCGACAGGAAAGGTCGGACAAAATTAGAAAACTTTAAGCGCTTAAAACTCCGTTTACGCAGAACTTTGAGGTTCTATAAGCTGTTTCATTGGTTTCCTCGTGACATTTCCTTCTACAAGCATCCCAGGAAATTGAAATTAAGACTAAATAAACATGAAAATGTGCAGTTTTAGTCAAAAATTTCCTTTCCACACTGAAAAAAAATCCGGTGTATTCACTAAGAAAAGGGTTAAATTACATAGAATTCAGGGTTCTATTTGATCCCAGTTTTTCCTCGGTAAAATTACCATTTATGGAATTGGTAATTTTACCGAGAAATCTCGGTAGAATATTGAACTTTCTCGGTAATTTTACCGGACCCCGGTAAAAACGCCAATATTTTTTATCGACTGTGGTAGAATTACCGAGATAAACTGGCAAAGTTACCGGGAATTGATTACCAGTAAAAGTGATATTTTTACCTGAATAAAACAGTAAAAATACCGGTTTTTAGGTAAGCTT